ATAACACCTAATACATGGAACATGTCCTAATTAAGCGAAATGAACCCATTGTGGATAAACAACCACTTCTCGCGAGCCCCAAGTATTCAAACCCAGTAGCCCTGATACCAAGTTGTCATGCCCCTGAAAATTTACATTATAGATCAACTAATTTCCATTGTTTAATGTAAACGGAAACCAAAACTCAATATTAACATTATCCTCAAATCTCCAACATTTGTATTCATTAACCATCAAGAGATATACAAAAGAATGTTCCACATGCGGTTATATATTCAACATTCCTAAAATATGAATCTCTAGCATGTAGCAAGGAAGTTTAGTACGAATTAATGCCCTCAAGTGCTACAAATTCCAAGGCTTAAGCCCGATTACACAAAAGTGGTTTCAAACCCATATACATAAAGCCCTTGGCTTGTCAAAAAAAATTGCAACAACAAAAAGAGCCTTGTGCTCTCAAAACATATCTCCACGCCTCTAACTTGGCGGGATCACCACATCCTTTTCTACACAAAATCTCATAGGGTTGACTACAAAGCCTAGTAGGAAAACCTTAACAAAGTATATACATTTTATATAGTCTCATGGGATGAATGCATATGCCAAGCCATGTTCAAAGACATATATCTTTATCCTTTGAAACCTTTGTGCACAATGCAATCTTGAAAATTTAATAATTCAATAATTTCAATGTAGTTCAATGGGGCAGTAAATACGACTCAAGTAATCCCTAGGTTGGTGTCTGCAAGTAGGTATAACAAGTACTACCAAATCTCCACTTTACCGGTAGCTAACCGGAAGGCACGTAGTACCTCCTCCGCGTGTGTTTTCGGTCTTTTACCATGGACACTCAGGCCAACTTTACCAATACCAACTACACCCCCTATCCGGACTTACCAACGTATTTACCCTCAAAACAAATCAATATGATCTTATTTCACAAAACAATTTCTTTTTTCCAATGCAATAATTAAAAGCAATCGCATCAACGCTAAAATGGCATGGCGATGCAAAAATGTCCAATCATAATCCATATTCAATTTCCCCTCACAATTCTCCATTTGTTATCACTTTTCACATCTCTTATCAATGCAATAACGTAATACATTACAAGAGATAAAATAATACAACATTACCCTTCAAGCATTTTTTATATATTAATCATTATAATATAATTCTAAAGGATGATATAACAAACAACCTCAACATGCATGTATTCTCCACGTGTTAATCTCTATTTTTCCACTCGGTCATTTCAAGACCAACCAATAATAAGCTATACAACAAGCTTCAATTTAACCATTTCTCATTTTCTTTCCATGGAATTTCCTCTTTATACACAATAATAGGAATATCTCAATCACATATTCACCATAATACAAGACAACCATAGATTTCACAACCTCTTATCATTTTCCAAAAAAAAAATCCCCAATTTCTAGGGTTTCCAGAAAACTAGGGGTAGGTTTGGTTTGGTTTGGTTTGGTTTGGTTTGGTTTTGGGAGAGTAGTTTTTAAAATTTGTTTTGAGGAGAGAGTTTAGAAATTTTTTTGGTTTATTTGGTTGTGTATTTTGAAAGTAGTTTTGGAGTTTGGGAGTTTGGAATGATTTGATATTTTGTTATAATTGAGTAGATGTGTGTGAGAGAAAAAGTGATTGAGAATGAGAGAGGAGAGAGAAAAAGTGATTGATTGATAGGTAAGAGAGAGAGAGAGAGTGATTTTGGAAATTGTTTTGAAAAATTTACAAACCAAACTAACATTTTAGAAAAAAATTTCCAAAATCACTCTAGAAATCCAAACCAAACATACCCTAGGGTTTTCTTCATTTTTTAAAGGGTTTTTCCAAGACAACATCCCTCCTTAACAATATAGTTCATACCCTCAAGAGTTTTTAGAAAAACATTGAGAAAACCCACTTTTAAAATCATCAAGAACTCATGAGTCAAAATCAAAGTTCAATACTACAAGAAGTTCCAAAATCAACATTAACTTGCAAAAATGTATATATAACTCTAAGAAAATCCCTACCTCAAGATTGGAAGAGGAAGGAGAAAAAAATCCTAAAAATAGATGCTGATGAAAACTCGATTCGATCGGTGAGAACGTAGCCCTCGTCGCTCTCTTTGATTCGGTGGAAGAAACCCTCTTAAATTTTTGGTAGATCTTGCTAAATCTTAGAGAGAAGATTGAAATTTGGTAGGTTTGTAGAGAGAAAGGAGAGCAAAGATGGATATAGAGAGAGAGAGAGAGCTGAAAAAGTGATCAAAACACCCTTTTGGCTTCGGTTTTGAGAAAAAGGAGCACAAAATTCGAGAGTGACATGCCGAAATCTGCACGTGCGGTTCCAATTCCGCACGAGCGGAATCCCAAATCCGCACGAGCGGTTTGGTGTTGCTCTTCACGAGCGGAATGATCTAGAGGCAGCCCAAAAAATTCACCGAAATCCACTCGAGCGGTTCCTAATGCGGAAATTCTGCCCAGAAAACCCCCCTCCACTGAGTGGTTCTACTCGAGTGGTTCCACCAATCCGCATGACCAGTTTTGCCAAGCAGCCTAGAAAATGATTTTACACCCCAAGGCAAGTTCTAACCCCCAAAACTCAAAATTTTCAACTCGAAAACATTAAGAGAGGTTAAGTAAGAGTAGAAAGAAATTTCAAGGACTAAAAACAATGAACGAAACGCCGAAGAAGTACATACTACTCTACTACACAAAACTATTCAATCCCAAAACCCGGGGCATAACAAATAGAGTATGAAAAGCTCACACACATCTCTTTTAAAATAGGGTCTTGCTAAATAACAATCCTAAGAGCTGTCAATAACAAACACAAAATGCCAAAACATTTATAATCCCAATACACTTTCCAAATATCCCAAAACACTTTTATATATTTTTTTACACTTCTAACACATTTTCCAACACTAACAACAGTCCCAAGGGCTGTTTTTAGCATTTTCCTATAAAATAATATGCTGCACCATCTTCATTTATTTCCATTGATGCAATAAACAAGCACATATGGATCAATATATAAACCATAACATCAAGAGATTATTTTTTTTAAACCAAAGAACAATTGGATACCCTTGTGAAGATCAAACGGATACTGAATCAAGGTGAAAGAGAAATAAATTTTAGGCCCTATGCAATACACCAGCTTTCAAAATATTGAGACGCTCTATTTTCAGATGCTAACTTAAGCAACTCTGTATCTCAAGAAATCAATTTTTTGAAGCAGTACACTACAAATGGTCGCTGCAAATGGTATGATCATTAGCCAACAAACTTTGAAATATCCTTAGAAGTTTAGTTAGCAGTACAAGACTTATGATAAAGAGGGGCAATTGTTTCCTGAAATAAAACAAACATGAGATCAAAAGTTAGATGCTCCAGTTCCAGCCACATTTTCTTGTCCATCATTTGATTTTTGACAAGGAAATGTTCTTCCAGATCAACAACAATGCCTCTCCCTGTGGTATATATTATATAAATTAAACTCTTCTTTTAAGAACCTAGCTACTTCCTACGAGAAAAGTCTTCAGTCTCTCCTAAAAGAATTCAGCATTTTTGCTGCCAACAATGAGAAGTTAGATTGGATTTGTAGCAAGAACATGAAGAAATGATTGAGAACCCAATGCCACTGCTTCTTAGAGGCCACTGCATGCGACCTATGGATATGTGAAAGGAACTAAAAGAAAATAATTGTCGAAAGGAAAATGATGGTCCAGATTACTTTAAATGGTACAGCAGACATTTTCAGACTTCAAAACTAACAAAAACTATGCTATAATACAATGCACATAAGGAATTGAATAATCCAACAGCCCTCAAGAAATTTGGCTTCAATGTTACTAACAAGAAATAATGAAGGTTTCATACTTTCATGTCTTTAGTTATTAACTCTGCATTACCTACAATAAACAAATGCCAAAACAAACCAACAATTGCACACAGAACACATACAAAACAAACTACCTTGAATGGCAGTGTTCAAAATAACTGCCACCATTAAATTGTTTTTGACATTGTTGTCCTGCATGGGGAGAGTACGATCCAATGTTAATTATCAATCGAGAAATGCTATTAATCAAGCACATATTCCCTCACAAAATTGGTTATGATCTCTGTATCGGAGCTAGGCATGTTTGAATTGAAATTGACTAAATTTTGATTAGGGTACCATTTGGTGGGTTTTATAAATCCAATGGTACTGCAAGCCTTGCTATTGACCAAAAAACCACATAAAAATATGGGGGAATTACATCCCAGTGGGGCAAAATTTTTATTTATTTATTTTTTTTTTTACACAAATATGGAGGAGTACAAGTCTACAGTTTTCACTTGCACCCCCATCACAGAATCACTTACACCCCACATGTTTTTCCCACATAGTTTTGTAATTTTTTTTCTGTCCCATTGTACTGTAGTGTCCCCTAAAAATATTTTGCCCTTGTACTCTGTATTTTAGTGCTCTACAACCCTTTTTCACCTTAACTGTTGCGGTGCTAGCAATGGTCACAGAGCTTGGTCCTCACCATTAGTACACTTGTCCAAATCAGTCATGCATGGCTAATAGCAGCCAAAAAAATCTCTGATATCTCATTTCCCCAGCAAAAAAAATAAAAAATAAAATTAAAAAGCCTTCAATTCGCTCAAATCTCATTAAACCCACTTCGCCAAAGCCCTCCATATAGAAGCAGCACCACCAGTACCAATTTTCTTTTCTCAAAATTGGATCTTTAAACAATCATATTACATTTAAAAAATGCCATAAACTAGAAGAATTAAATTCACCAAAAGCTCACTTGACTTGAGAGACCCGAAATAAAACTCCTAAATCACTGATCACGAAAATCAGAAAGCACAAGAAAATGTGAACAAGTACAGTTATCGACCAAAGTACCAATACATACATTGTGTTTCAGCATTAAAATTTGAAGAAGTCGGAACAAGAAATGCGAAACCCTTTTCTCAGAAAGCGGAAAAGAAACACACCTGATGATTAGACGGAAACATGGCGGAAAGGACCTGGACTCTCTCTCTCTCTCTCTCTCTCTCTCTCTATATATATATATACTTATACACAGAGACACACCTGTTTCTCTCTCTCTCTCTCTCTCTAGATTGTCTCTCCCGTATCTAACAGCTGAATCTTAAAGGAAAGCATGCTTCTCTTTTAATTCATTCGCTGCGCAAACCCGCATGTTATAAAATTTAGGGCTCCGTTTGGTATCTCTCGCTCTTCTTTCTTTGGAGATGCGCTTTTGTTGAACAATTAATTCGAGAAATGTGAAATTTATAAAATTTCAGTTATCTTGACATCTCGTCTTCACATTTATTGTAATGGATTTAATTGTACTTAACAATTTTTGGGGGTAAATGATTTTGGAATACTCCTTCAATTCAAACAAGTCTTTGAAAGATTTTGTAGTTGTCACATGAAAACAAGAGAAAAACGCCGGTCGATGGTGCTGGAATTAGCACTCCGACAAGTAAGACAGTTTTCCTTCAAAAAATAATTTCTAGTAGTGCAAGTTTTTTAGAACATATCTTTCTTTCCCACTTTTCCCTCCTTTTATAAAGTCATTCTTCTAGAACTTTTTTCTTGTAGCTTAGGCCCTCATCACCACTTTTTCAGGCAGCCCGGATCCGCCTAACATGGTCTGGCCGACTTATCCGATGTACTCGACTCAAACATGCAACTCAGATACCCTTAATTCGGCGTGCTCCTCATTTTATTTTTTTTGTCTGTTCAACAATGGCTTTCAGTCCAATAGGCTTTGGCCTCATTTGGCCCATCTCAGATGGTTTTTGATGTACTCTGTTTGCTGTTTTAGGTATATTTTTGCTCGGCTCCCACAATTGCCCTCCGAGCACCAAGTTAACTCATATGCTGAGTGGGCTGCGTACTCGGCTTTTATCAGACCGGCTTCATACGGAAGTTTGAAACTAATTACACCTCATGCCTAGAAATTTGAGCACGTGATGGACACGCTATCACACCCGACATGATGGTTGGGACCTAATTGGGAATATATAAAGCTTTCCACCTCTTAACTCTCTCTTGGCTCTTTATTTATTACGATTTTAAAAATTTGTCGCCTCTTCCCCTTCGCTTACAGAAAGACTTCACCCCCATACCATTTCAGTTTCTACCATTTGATTGCAACTGTCGCAACCTTTGTTTGCTCAAACATCCTTCGTTTTTATCTTATAAGTCTTGTGAATCTCTCTTTTCATTTTCCTTGAGCTTTTCAACTTTGTTTTGCCTCTGGTCTACCTTTTTACCTTTGGTTTGTACATCCTTCAATACTTTTATGGAAAATCACCTGAAAGCTTCGCTCTCTGAGAGCAAGATTGCCACTTTTCACAACCATTATTCTATTCCCGACAACGTTCGAATAAAGCTCATCGCAGACACGGTGGTGGACATGGAGAGATTGAATACTAGCACCATAGTGTTTCCGTTATTAGCTATTGCCGAAGGTAGAGTATGATTTCCTTTTCGCTCATTTCTTCGAGTTGTTCTTCATTATTAGGGTTCACAACCAAATGTAAATTTCTATCGAATAATCATGGGCATCATAGCACTCAGCTGTCGATTGCACATTAACCTGGGCATCCCAGCTATTAGGCACTGCTACGCCTTTGTCAAATCATCTTGTTGGCTAGGGCGATTCTTCCTTAGGGCCAAGGACACAGATCACCAACTAGTGACCATGCTTGCCAGCTCAGGAAAGATGATGGATGATGTCATGGTCTTGGTCAATGGAAATTAGGAATTCGGCACAGAGGAAGACTGCTCGGACCCAATTCCTAAGAAAAAAAAGAGAACTAGGTGGCCGAGTAATTCATAAATCGTTTTTGATTCCATTCGGCTTCAATGTATTAACAACAAATTTTCTTACAGGTAAAGATCTTAAAAAGACGATCGCCTTAAAGGCCGAACCTATTCTAGCCTAAGTCAAAATCGCTCTTGATTACGTTGGCCCAAGGAGTCTTGAAGGACAAGGTTGCGCCATCCACATTCTTCTAAAGTACAATCCATCTTACTCTATTTTTGCTGCTGCAGATTATATTCAAATTCTTCAAGGAGAATAACAGCTCATCACTTTAGTGTTTGAGAGTTATGTCAACTTGAGGGATATAGGAAATTCTTAAAGTAGTAGATAGTAAGAGCGACGAAGAGAGCGGTAAAGAAATAAGTCAAGGCGATCACAATCAAGATATTGAACAAGTTCAAGAAGGCCTCATCATCTAAGACGCCGAATAAATAAGTTCTGATTCGGCTATCAAAATTCTTAAAGATGAAGAAAACAGCCCCCACCGAGATCTAGATCTAGTGCCATCTCCTGGTCGAGTGGATTTGGAGGTCACTCAAAAAGACACTGATATATTTCTAGACTTAGACGATTTGCCTAAATCTAGAACCGAAAAGATGACCGGCGAAATCCATTCACTCGCTCAATTTGCAAAGAGGAGGAACGCCGAGAGGCTGGCTGCAAAAAGAAAGCAATTAAAAGCTGCCAGTATAAGCCAAGAGGCCCCTTTAGAAGTGATGACCCAAACAGAAGTTATTAAGCAACCCGTTCTGGCAGAATCAACGCAAACAGAGACCGTTCCTGCGGAAATAGAAACTGATGTAATCGATCCAAGGGGCTTTGTAGACACCCTATTTTTGACCGACCTTAAGACTCAGACGTCATGATTAAGCGCTCGGTGATAGTGCATGTTGAGCTCGTTTCGAGGTTTCGGAGTTTTGGCTGAGTGCCTTACCTCCGGGCCTCTAAACTCTTTGTGTTTCGACTCGGTTTGCGGACCAAACCTTGTTTCTCTTCCCTGGAGGAAGGGAGTGGTCTTGTAGACCACCTATTTGTGGTCGTAGACTACTTTTCGTGGTTGTAGACCACTTTTCTCGTTTGGAGACAAGTTTTCGATTTTCAGAGCCTTCGGTCGTGTGCCTTATCTAGAGATCGCTTAACGTTCTCCATTTGGCTTGGTTTTCGAACCATGCCTTGTTGTCTCTACCTAGAAGGACACTGTGGTCCGGAAGACCACTTTTGTGGTCGTAGACCACTTTTGGTGCCACTAGACTAGTTTTCAAGGCTTCCGGCTGAACGCCTTGCCTCCCGAACTTTCGTCTTGCATCCGTTTTGGTTTGTTTTTGGTACAAACCTTATTTTCCTTGTTTGGAAGGTGATACACGGGTGGGAGACCAGTATTTCCCCTTGGAGACCACTTTTCTTCCCGCCAACCAGTTTTCTGATCAGACAACTGGTTTTCTTAGTCTTTGGGCCACATTTTCTGGTCGGTCATCACACCACCACATTGCTTTCAGTATGTAGACCACCTTTGCATAGTGGCCGACCACTTTTTCTTCTAGTCGGCCGATCAGTAGAAGCAGTTGGCCGACCACTTCAACTGGTCGGCCACTTTCCAGCTCATTCCTAGAGCTATTTTCTTCCAGCTGGCACAACTGGAAGGCACCAGAACCATCCTACATACACGTGTATGGAGGGATGGCCTTGAACCCTTAGCTTTTTCAAGAAGCTTACACTTTTGTTCTCTATATAAGAGAACCTCCTCCTCCCTCCTCTAGGTTCAGAAAAATTGCCTTAAGAGATATACATACACCTTTGTATCTATCTTGCTCTTGTTCTTCATTTTTGTGTTCAAAAGTGCATATTCTTCATACTTTAACACACAAACACACACTCAAACACCATCCCTTTGTTGCTGAGATGCTTAGGAGTTGGTTTTGGAGTTTTTGGTTTGGTTTAAGCTTGAAAAACTTGCTGGAGTTGTGGTTTTGAAGGTGGTCTTCAAGGGTGAGCCTTTAACTCCTTAAACCCCCATTCTTGCTTAAGCTTTTAGCCTTACTTGCATATTGTTTTAAGCTTAACTCTAAACTACAAAAAGTTCTGATTTTGTATGCTTAAGATCTTTGTTTAATGCCACTTTTGTGTTGAGGGTTGTTTACCCCCTCCTAGGCCTTGTTTGGCCTTACTTTTGTGCCTTCTTTTTAAGCCTTTGGGACTACCTTATTTTGGCCTTCTCACCACTGAAACTCAGAGGAGTTTCAGTGGTGGGAAGGGTGTTTTGAGGTCCCAAAAAGGAGAGGATCATCCCCTCTCCTTGTGTCTTAAATACTTGCTTATTTTGTCTCATGTGTGAGCATGTTTGTTAAGCTTATGTTGGTCATATCTTAGCTTATATTTGGGCTTATTTTATCATGGCATGCCACTATTTTTACTTGGTTTTGTCACTCCATGCATGCCTAATACACTTGTAGTGTAAATCTCATAAACTAGTCTTGTATGCTTCATGAAGTGACATGTCATTCTAGCTTGTTTTGTTTCCATTTCAGCATGTTTTTGGTGATGTTTTGCCATGTCATACCTCTGTTAGGGTTTGGTTTGGTCTCCTCTTGCATGCCTCATGCACTTGTAGTGCAATTCCATGAAATAGCCTAACATGCATCATGCTTTAATATGTCATTCTAGCATGCTTTAGGCTTAACTTCAAGAAGCTTTTGTCCATGTTTTAGCATGCTCTAGCTCTGATTTATGTTGTTTTGGCCATGCATGACTTATTTTGTATAGCCATGGTTCAATCTAGCTTGTTAGCTTTGTGTATCAAGTCCACTAGCATGCATTGCTTGGCCTATTTCAATGATTTGGCATCATTTTTCATATGATTTCAGTCCATGTTTCATGGTCATGCACTTGCATTTATCACTCATTCAATGCATTGGAGGGTTTGCCCCATTTATGCCTTAACATGAATCATTGCGTATGCCTTCATGCATAAGCTTGCGAGCTATCATTTCAATGTGTTTTGGGGGTTATTTTGCCATGATATAACTCTAATTTTTATTGGTTAAGTCATCACATGCTTGGTCTTAATAGGCGTAGTGTAATCCACCTTATTTGCCTTGTATGTATTATGCCTTATGTCCTTCATGTTAGCTTGTTTTGGCTTCCTTCCATACATGTTTTAGTATCATTTTGACATGTTCTAGGACTATTTTGGGTTACCTTTTCCATATGCTTCATGCTTTGTATAACTGTAGTGCAATTGACCTTGCTAGCTTTGTGTTTTGATGACTCATGCATGCTATCTTTGAGCTATTTAGATGATTTGACATCATTTAATACTTCATTTCATAGCATATAGGACTGTCATGTTCCTATTTCTTTCACTCTTTGATTGCCTTTGAGTGTTATGCATTGTTGCCTAGTTTGTGGCCTAGCATGTATGTCATCTTGCCTAGGTCCT